AAAAAATTAACATTCCATCTGGACGATTTGAACATACATATATGGATCTTGTTGGTCCATTACCTGTGTCAAAAGAAAATCGTTACATTTGAACTATCATTGATAGACATACACGTTGGCCAGAGGCATATCCACTTAGGGATATTTCAGCTAATTCTATAGCAACATTTTTTTCAAATTTACGTTCCTCGTTTTGGCATTCCCCTTTATATAACAGTAGATCAAGGATCACAGTTTACGTCAAAATTGTTCACAGAATTGAATAAATTGTTAGGATCACACAAAATTCATACATCCCCATATCATCCTCAATCAAATGGAATGATTGAAAGATTTCATAGGACATTAAAGACTGCTATTACTGCCTTAGATGATTCTACCCACTGGTCTGAAATTCTTCCTTGGATATTATTAGGACTACGTACGTCTATTAAAGAAGATTTAAAATGCTCTTCTGCAGAATTAGTTTGTGGATAAACATTAAGATTACCAGGTGAATTAGTTATTACGAACAGTTATAATAATGAAGTTGATAATACAAATGAAACTCTATCTAAGCTAAGAAAATATTTTTCAAATGTTAGATCAAAGATGGTACATCACAATAAAGAATACTCTTTTATTCCTAAAAATTTGGATACTTGTGAGTACGTTTTTGTTAAAGTTATTCAAAGAAAAATGACAAAGTATTCAAAATTCAACATGGAAATATGATTAAAACGGTTTCAATTGATTTACTCAAACCTGCAAATATAATTTCTGATACAACAAAAAAATCTAATTCACTAACAATTCCAAATACAAAAAAGAAAACATTTAACATTAATTAATTTATTGTTTTACTGGAGGGGGAGTATATGTAGGGTATTTTACCTATATGTTTTTATACTTCCATCCGCTCTGTTTTTTGCAGGACCGTACTGTTTTTCAAAGGTCGGTCCTGCGTAGTTTTTCAAACCTGAAAAACCAGAAAATGTACTGATGTTTTCCAAGTGTCCTGCATTTGTCCCGCATTTTATCGTTATTTTAAAATTATCGGACAATGGATGGATTTTTTTAAAAAAGTGTTTTTTGGTACTTTTCGTAGCTTTTCTTCCATATCTCTTGAAAAAATCTCCCAATCAACGTGATGTGCCTCTTACCAAAATATACAACTTGTAGCGACTTCAATGAAAATTATTAGTGCTGCAGGCGACCATTTGCATTTTGTTGTCAAAGTCGAAAAAAGTGAGATTTTCAATCAAATACGCAGTTTCAATTGATTATTTTTTTTCATTACTTTAAAATTCGATAAAGAAGATATATCATTACAGTCTGCACAAGTTGAATATTTTTGTAAAGGGCACTTTGTTACTCGTCGTTTACGTCGATTCATGACGTCGATTTTTGACATATAACTGCGGGAAGTACCAAAAAACAAAAAAGAAGGGTATTTATTGTTTTCGTTTTGAAGGACTCAAAATTTGCCTATAAAATAATCTTTTAAAGATTTTCACTTTTCACTATTACAATTATAATGGCCCGTAGTCATAGTCAAAATAAAGTCGACTTTAAAGTTAGTTGCAGCTTTTT